AATTTCTAAATGAGGTATTATATTAATTTAGCTTAAATCTTTTTTTATTTTAATATGATAATAATTTTTATTTTATAGATTAAACAATATACAATTAATTTTGAAGAACGTAAAATAGTAAGTATATATGGAATATCCCAAGATAAAAATACAAATAATTATCTTGTGGTTCTTAATGATGAATATTTTCGAATGTATTGTGAAATATGTGGTGAAAAATATCCGGATGATTATACATGGTGTAAATCGTGCCATATGAGAGACCTATTTAAAGATTGGACCAGTGGAAATAAAGTAATTGATAACTTAATTCAAGAAATGCAATTAAAAATTGATAGTTCTCATGATATACTATTTGAATGGATACCGTATAATCAATTTGATGAAATTAATGAAATAGGCAAAGGTGGCTTTGCTACAGTATACTCAGCAAAATGGAAAAGTGGCCCATTAAGATTTAATAGTTATAATATTAAAAAATATGTGAGACAGCAGCCAAATATGACAGTTGCTTTAAAGTGTTTACATGACTCACAAAATATTACTAATAAACTAGTGTACTTTTGGATATAGTGAGTGAGTTTATTTTTAAAAGTATACTAATAAATTAATAAAAGATTTTTTTATAACAATATGAACCTTATTAAATGTAATTATTGTTATAAAAATCTTTTATTATCATTACTTATTATTAATATTAGTGTTACTGTGAACTAAAAAAAAATCTTACTAAAAACAATTATTAACTTCAGTTAATAAGTTAATTGTCTATTACTGATATATTGTTATTAAAAAAAATCCTAGAAAATTATTTTATACCAAACAAGAGTCCATCATTCATGAGGAGCTGTGAAATTCATAGCATTCTGTTCATTTTAGTTGGTTTTCAAAATACAGTAGTTGACTCAGTAATTTCGGCATAATTTCAGGTTCAGTTTAGGACAGCAATTCCCGAAACTGAAACTCTGCCGAAAGTCAAAATTCAGGCCGAAATTGTCTGGCCAGCACTATACATTCTGGCTTGCATTGTGAATTTTGTAATGTTTGCTTGATCAATGATAACTTGTCAAGTGATGAACCGACTGATTGGTAATTAAAATATGGGTTTGTCACATGATTGCCGATCAATGTTGCGTTTTTTTAAATTAACATTTTTTTAATTCTTTATTTAAAAATTATTTAATAGCAAGTTATTTTTAATTCTATTATTACTTACTACAAATGTTATAAGTTATTTATTTAATTCTATAATTACTTTATTTATATAATGTTTACATATAATTTAAACTAACTAAATTCTTTATTTAATAGATCGTAAGTTATAAGTTATTTATTATTGCTTATTTATATAATATTTACATGTAATTTAACTAAATTCTTTATTTAAAAAATTATTTATTTATTATTTAATTCTATTATTACTTTATTATATAATATTTACATATAGTTTAAAC